TTCTATGGTTTGGAAAGTGGTCGAAATTCTTCACGGTGATGGACTTGATCAACTCGAGGTCTCGAATCATGAGCAAAGGCGTATCGAAATCGAACAAACCGACGTACTTTGACTCGGGATACATATTGTATATTTTTTCTACGCTCTCGGCGAACGACGATCGTTGAAGGAACGTCTCCCACATGCTTCCTAAAAATACTATTGGTTTGGCGTATGGAATTCCACGTTTCTCGAAGAAGTCGAATTTACGAGTGGCTCGGTAGTAAATCACCGCTAGCACGGCCAACACGGCCGCGATTATCGCCCACCAACCCATTTCCAGATACGTTGTTATTTCCTGCTTCTATCAGGTATTCACCATCTATCGGCAATTATATCAGCGTTAGCCTGTTTCCTTCCTTCGAACGATCCTGCTCACTTTCCAGAAAAGATCATCAACTACTTGCGAGAGATTGGACAATTGCAGGAAACGATCACCGACTATCTTCGATCCGTTGACAAAGAGAAAAAACAGAGTGAACGCAGAGTGCAGCTGCGAACGTTCTTGAGCCAATGTGCTTGCGATGAAAACGCTAATCGATGACGGTTAATGTGTTAATGGGCCACGCCACGTTCGTGTTGCTGGCGACGAAAGGCGATCGAACTGCTCCCGCGATTCTTTATAACGAGTCTTATCTATAGATAACAGAAGAATGACTTGTCACCTTAACAGCTGCTGTAATTGCGTTGCAATTTTCTGTAACTTTCGTTATCTTCTGCTTCTGCTATTTCATCTTCAATTCAATTAATAGATGGATAAAGGCAGTGTTATTGAATGTACACGCAGGCATGTACGTTTGCACGTATAGATACTCGAGAATTGTTCTATGGTTGCAGACACGCGAGGATATTATAATTGAAATAGATCGTAAAAACATACAGTTTTTACTGATATTATCACTGCGGAAATTATCGTTGTCCGTTTCAAAATTTTTGAACAAGACATTGTTATCTTTTTCTGGGAACGACCACGACTAGATACGATGATAAAACGGAGATTATGATCTTATGATTATTTTTTTCAATTTAATCCAAATTAAGTATATTTATTTCCAATAATCATTTTATTTAATTGTACAAGATCTACATCTACGATGTACAAATATACATATTTTTCGTAACAAAAAATATATATTAAATCTTCGTAAAAACTTATAAAAACCCATGAAAGATTATTATCTGAATTTAATGTAAAAAAAGATTTTTCTTGTTGACTAGAAAATCAACGGCCCTTTTCCATATATTCTTCAAGACCAGATCGTAGGAATCACAGAAAATTCGTCGATAATATCGTTCAAAGGTATGAAGAGTTATGAATTTTTCTGAACAAAGATCAGTGAAGAAAATGGAAAAGATAACTCCCATGCTGTTCTTGAAAACGTCAATGCGCGATTTCATCGACAAAATGTATATGATCATTTGCAACGAGTGGATTCTGAAGAAAGTGAAATGTGTCCAGCAGGAGAGCATCTTTACATACGCGTTACATTTCCTGTTTCCTTCCCCGTATAAAATCCCTAAATTACGCTTAATGTATATTGCAACCACGTATTACATGTATTATAACCAATTATATCATATTACAACAAAGTATAAAAAGTTCGGTTTCGACGAAACGTAGACGAAGAAGAAACTTGCAGCAACGGATATCGCATGGATGCACGATGCAACGTAACATAATTGTCGGGATGTCTGTCGGGAATCTTCACGATGAGCATGGTCGTTCTTGGACTGGCAATCTACTCCCGCATCGCTCTTTTTGCGCTTCTCGGCTGGATTTTCAGCCAGAAGCCGTTCTCCAACGTCATCGAGAGTCTTTTCCTGTCCAGTTTCAACGGTATGCAGGACTTGGCGCACGGTTCGAGGTCGCACTTGGCGAAAATGTAGAAGAGCAACACTTTCGTTTCTAATAGGGCGAACCTGTTGCCGATGCACATCCTGGGACCCACTCCAAACGAGAGGAACGACGGAGAGTTGGCCATCTGTTTCGGATCGTCGTAGAATCTGTCGGGATTGAACTTCTTCGGCTCCGGGTAGTATTGCGGATCGTGTTGAATGCCATAGATCGGTATCCACACGCAATCGTCTCGTTGCACGACGTACGGTTTCGCTCCTGGCACACGTGGAGGCAGTTCGAACGGTTTCACGCAGACTCTGTCGCTACCGATCACCGACGGGTACATTCGAACACTCTCGAGGATAACAGCCTCCAGGTACTTCATGCCGTTGATGGCCTCGTACGTGACCTGGCCGTTGCAATCCGCCAGAACCTGGTCGATCTCGTCTTGCAATCTTTTCTGTACCTGGTCGTTAATGCCGATCTCGTAAGCGGCAAAGCACATGAGAGTGGAACTGCTCTCGAATCCACCGAAGAAGAAGATGAACGCCTGGGCGATCATGTCGTCGATGGACAACTCTTTACCTGGGCCTAATTTCCCTCTGGTCTCCATCATCAGTTGCATCATGTCCGGACGAATGATGCCGTTCTCGTCCCGGGTCTTTACCGTGCTGGCTACCAACTCCTTGAAGAAGTCGACGATCCTCTGATTGAATACCTTGATACCGAGCAATCGGAACAACCACGGAAACTTTCTCGCTGCGAAAAACCTGAGGATTTGCAATCTTCCAAAGCTGGTTGCCTCCCTGCCGTACACGTAGAACGTGTTGTTCGGATTCTTCATCGAGTTGACGTCAATGCCGAACGCGCAAGTGGCGATCACGTCGTTGGTGTACCTGGTGAACGCGTCCTTCAGCTCGAACTCTCTCGACTGATCGGCGGACAAGGAAGCGAAATAATCGCCGTACTCTTTGGCACAGTCGCGCATCAACACGAACATGGACTTCATCTTGCTGGACGTGAAGGTCGGTGACAACATGTTTCGTACTTCCCTCCATCTTTCGTCGCGCAGGGATAATATGTTCTTCGCGAGGAACGGCTCCAGATCTGGATCGAAAGCTGTTCTATGGTTTGGAAAGTGGTCGAAATTCTTCACGGTGATGGACTTGATCAAGTCGAGGTCTCGAATCATGAGTATGGGCGTATCGAACTCGAAGAAACCGACGTACTTTGACTCGGGATACATATTGTACAATTTTTCTGCCACCTCGGCGAGCGACAATCGTTGAAGGAACACCTCCCACATGCTTCCTAATAATATCATCGGCTTGGCGTACGGGATCCCACGTTTCTCGAAGAAGTTGAGGTTGCGAGTGGCTCGGTAGTAAATCGCCGCTAGCATGGCCAACACGGCCGCGATTATCGGCCACCAACCCATTTCCAAATTGCTAAACATTGTTATTTCGTTCTTCCAGCAGGTAAACGCTATCTATCGGCAACGATCTCGCTCACTTTTCCGCACAGAAAGAATCATCGAGGGACTGGATAATCGTAGAAAACAATCACCGACTACGTTCGACCCGTTGATAAAGAGAACGTTTAACAGCGACTACGGATGCTATTGCGCCAGTGTGCTGGCGATGACTAAAGACGCGGTTCGATGACGACAGTTAATATATTAATGGGCGGCGCCACGTTCGTGTGCTGCTGGCGACGAAAGGCAGTCGAACTGCTCGCGCGATTCTTTATAACGAATCTTATCTAATTATAGATAACAAGAGAACTGCTTTGTCACCCTAACAGCTGCTGTAATTATTTTGCAATTTTTTGTAACTTTTGTTATCTTCTGATATTTCATCTTTCACTTAATAGATGGATAAATGCAGTGTTATTGAGCGTACACGCAGGCATGTACGTTTGCACATATTGGTACTCGAGAAATGTTCTATGGTTGCAGACACGCGAGGATATTATAATTGAAACAGTCGCGGCAAAAAAATTGCGTATTATTTTCAGCTAATGTTTGATTTTTCCTGCGCTTTATTTCCAACTTTCCTGGTTTTCCTCTTCCAACGAACTATCATATAACGTGATTCGTATAACATATGAAATCGTATAGATTTCGTGAATACGAAGTAACATGATTAACGCGAAAAATTCACCGAGAAATAATTAAACGACGGACGTTTCCGCGAAAATCTCTCTTTGTAGCGGTGATTCTTTTCAATTCCAAAAATTCACATCGCCGTGCTCGAATTCTACTTTCGAACGTTTGTTCGCGCACGGTGGCGTACACTTGCGGTAACGTAACCAGTTACTGACCTGGCCTCGACGAATCACGCAGCTCTAGCAACGACACGCAACCAGAATCCATTTTTCGCGGTGAGAAACACGCCCCTGGTCTTCAGTTCCATGGGCAGGGTCGTCTTGGAAGAAACCTGAAGTCGACAGCGAGCAAGAATGTGAAACAGCGCGACTTTGGTCTCGATCAGCGTGAACCTTTTACCGATACAGTTCCTCGGCCCGATGCCGAATGGCAAGTACGCTCCGCTGTTGACCAGATTGCTTGCTTTCTTCAAAAATCGATCCGGCTCGAAGCAGTCGGGTTTCTCGAAGTACCTCGGATCGCGTTGGATCGCGTAGATCGGCAACCACACGTGAGAGCCTCGCTCCATCACGTATGGTTCGGCGCCTGGCAAAACTGGCGGCAACTCGAACGGTATCGAGCACTCTCGGTCGGTAAACGGTATGACTGGATACATTCGCAGCGTCTCGTTGATCACGGCGTCGAGATACTCGAGGTTGTCCAATCTTTCGAAGGTCACCTCGGTGTTGCTGCAATCGGCCAGAGCGGCGTCGATCTCCGCGTGAAGCCTCCGCTGAATCTCCGGATTCGCGGCCACCTCGTGGACAGCGAAGCACAACAGGCCGGACGTGGTCTCGAAGCCCCCGAAAAAGAAGGAAAACGCCTGAGCGGTGATGTCGTCGACGCTCAGATCTCTGCTCTTCTTACTCTCCGTCATCAACTGAATGAAGTCGGGCCTGACGATGCCTTTCTCCTCTCTCGTTCGAATAGCCTCGGACACCAGGTTCTTGAAGAAACCCGTCGTCTCGCCGTTCAACAAAGTTATGCCGAACTTTTTGGCCAACGCTGGGAACAACTTCAATACGACGAGCTTGAGAATCCCTACGCTGTGAATGTCCAGGACTTCCCTGCCTAACTTGTAGAATCGATTGTCCCGATCAGCCAGCGAGTCGATCGCGATCCCAAAGGCGCACGTCGCGAACACGTCGTTGGCGTACCTGGTGAAGATGTCCTTCATCTCCACCACGTTCTCGTTTGCCGGCAGAGTTGACAAGTATCTCGCCACGTTCACGCCGGTCTCGGACATCAGACGAAACATGGACCTCATCTTGCTGGAGCTGAAGACCGGTGTGAACGACGACCTGACTTCCTTCCAGCGGTCGTCGCGGAGCAGCAGCAGATTCCTGCTGAAGATCGGGTCTACCTGTTGGTCGGTGAAGTTTCGATGATTGCGAAAGTGGTGGAAATTCGTGATGGCGATCGACTTGATCAACCGTTGATCTCGTATCATCAAGGCGGCTGTCATTCTGTTGTACAGTCCAACGTATTTCGCGTCCGGCGCCATATTGTAGATCTCTTGCACCACCGTCGCCAAACATTTCCGACCCAATATCCACTCCCACGTGCTACCTAGTAGAGGAACCGAGCTTTTGTACGGTAGCCCGTGCGCCTCGAAAGGGTTCCGCCTTGCTTTGAAAAGATGGTACGCTGCCAAAAGTACGAGCAGAATCGACGACACAACGAGCAAATGATCCATTGCCGAATCGTACGAATCTGAATCGTTGGATGGACGAGTGTGTCTTTCACAGAGATGAAATCTGCAAGAAACGACCAAACTATTGCAATGGACAATGTACGTGTGATTAAATAATGTGAAACTCGATGGAGAGGGAAGAAGGGAAAAAGATGGGAAGGAAATCGTTAGAGTTGTTAAATGATTTAGTTTTAGAAAAAACGCTTATTTACATACGTAAACAGAAGGCGAGCGCTCGAGTTGTTGCAAAGTTGACTCTCGGTCGCGTACTGTAATATTTCTGAACTTCTGTCGGTATTCGACGCGACGCAACTGCATAACCTCCGATCAAAGTCCATTGTGACGTGCACACATGTACGCGTATATGTTACATTAATCGCCACTAATAACGTTCGTTTAAACTTTAATTACGAGAGCGTAAAATCTCGTTTCAGTGAGAATTGTTCAAAGGCCAAATATACCCGCGATTGTTTGATCGTTTCATCTGGACGAAAATTCGAAATCACCTCGATGACAATCTCGTCGTTCCCGTTGAAACTGCTTGTAAATTCTCTTACGTTCGTATAACTAACCTACCATCTACCTACGTACAATACACACACACACACACACACACACATGTCTGTGTATGTACGTACGTGTGATGTAAAAAGAGAAAACAACAATTATATGCCTTGTTGCCAACTAACACGGTTGCATATTATGATTCGAAAGATACATACGTTACGTAATCGCGCGATGACTTGATATTTCTGCCGCGTAGATAATTCATTTTACTCGTACATTCGTCATATAGTATCGTAGTTTGAATAGTAAACGTTTAATGAAGTGCGATAAACGCCGAGGGGAATATTTCCGCTGAAACGCAGTTGTTTACGCGCAAGTATCGAGCAACGATAGTGTCAGAATTTCAATGAATTTTTATGGTTATACGCACGATCAAAACCGACGATTCCCAAAGGTTCTTGCGAATCCTTTGGTCCATCGAAATTAATTAAGATCCCTTTATTTCTGACAAGGTTTGCCAAGCTTGCTCGAGCAACGGATGATTTTTCGCAAAGTTCTTTTCACGCGCCGACTTTTCAACCGCTCGCCATCGTCTACGCGCCGCAATTCCCTGCAAATAATTCAATTAGACGTGCCATGTTCCCATCCACTCTGCTTCTGTTCGTTTTAAACGAATGCCCGCGGCAATCGAAATCTTCGCATGTCAGCTTCTCATGGAAATTAATGTAAATTCAATTATACGCGAAATAAGTTGGAAGCCGCTTCGCCCCTCTCTCCCTCTTTCGAAAAATACGAGTTGCCTCCCGTCCGTGTTAGATTTAGACGACATTCCGACATTTCGAAATTTATGCCAATTTCTACGAAAAAAAAACAAAAACAAAAAGTCATTTACCGGGGGAAGAAGAAAGAAAAAAAATGCAAAAGTTTGGAATTTAAAAATTTGAAATTTTCGTGCGACCGATTAATTTAATAGACACTGCAGGCACAGAGGGTGTCTCTCGGTCGCCGGATGGACCGGGGAAAGTTCCACGCGTTGCCGTACGTGTAATAATTTTGAATGCACAACAGCGTATTCTAAACGCTGGGCGTAATCTCTACCGGCTCGATTTAGGCACGTATCCGAAGATGGACATCTAGCGATTTGCAGCGGCGCAGCGCAAACGAACCGTCTGAATATCGGATAATATCGCGCATAGTCCGATTATGAAGTTGCCTTAACAATATGGACGGGATATGGCCGGGATAATAACCGGGAACCGGGCGGACGCTTTTGATCTGATTCAACATTTCCACGGAGCCGGCGTCCACCCTCGGACAACTACGAAAAACTGAAATCGCATCCCTTCCGTTCCCTAGTCCTAGTCCTAGTCCTAGTCCTTTGTTCCCTCAATTTTATCTTCATCGATTCCCGTGAATTTTTCGCCTCCCGTGAATCCGGAAATTTTCAGATCGAAAGAAAAGGAATTTCCCCGCTGCCGCTCCCCTGGCTGACATGCATCCAGTTTTGTGCAAGGAAACGAGCTTCCGGGGGCGAAAGTTCGAGACAGACTTGCACACTGGCTCTTTGTCAAACGGGAGAAAACGAGACAGGATAGAGAGACAGAGAGACACGGAGAGGGAAAGAGAGAGAGAGAGAGAGTGAGGAGGGAAAACGAGAAAGGGCTAGAGGAACAAAATTCATTTGGCCAAATTAAACAGAGTTTAGCAATTTGCGCTTAATCCATTTGTCGGGGATCCAGCATCCGTCAGTCCGTCCGTTTGCTTCATCCTTCTCCCTCTCTCTCTCTCTCTCTCTCTCTCTCTCTCCCTGTGCCCCTCTCCACTCTTAACACGACTACCACTATGCACCCTTTCGTTGCTAGCCCTTCCAACGTTTCAGCTTGCTCCTGTCGATACTAATCTCCTCTAGTCGTCTCTTTCTCTGGTTTTCCCTTTCTTCCCGTTCTAGACCTAGAGAGCTAGTGGTCTTGTTCTCTTTGCTCCGTATGATTCGTCGTCGTCGTCGTCGTCCACTTTGAAAACCGGCCGGGTGTCTCGCAAATTTCCGGCACGCATGCTACGGCTCGTTAATAAATTGCAGCAGGCCAGTCGCGTGTGACGATAGTTGCCACCGGTTGGCGACAACGACAAAACGTGTAAACGTGAAATTTCGTTTGCAGGCGAACGAAGTGGCGACGAAATGGGAGAGTCGGCGTCGCTGTGGCACAACCTATTTCTCCGAGAAAAAAAAAAAGGTAAAGTTTCCTTTCGTTTTTCTTTTCTTTCTCAACTTTTTGTTCGATTGTTCCTGCGTTCAAACTATCTATTATTAAGCTTAAATCCAGCTTTTCACATACTCGACGAGACTTTCTCTTTCTTCCTTTTTCCATCGCCGTGTACATGTTGTTTCTGTACGCGAAGTTTCGAGTACGTGAAACTATCGCAGAAACACCGTTTTTCTTCAAAGTTCTCGCGTTTAAGAAAGTCGACGCGTTCGAGGTGTTCCAATCGAAGAGAGATCCGAAACTTTGCGGCTTGATACGACGTGGCGAATGAAATTTACAGGGACGGAAGATTAAACAGAGAGTGAACTGATTCCGAGGGTCGAGCCACGGATCCCGTCAGCCTAATTTCTCGAATGGCTGGAACGCGATAAATCTGCAAGCACGACGTGAGGATATATATCGCCTCTGTGACCATTCATTCCCATCCTATCGAGCGCGCCGGTTTCCTGACCGACGAAAACTCTGTCGTTCGATTCTTTCAAGAACCAAATACTTCCCCTTCTCGAGAAAGATATATCGAGAATGATGAAAAATCTGCAAATTCTTGTCTTCTATTTTCCATCATTCTGCCGTTGGACACACACACACACACACACACACAGAGAATGTGAGATAAAACGTTCGAGCCATTTTTGATAATTCTAATTGTTGGAATTATTCTTGTCCACACAGGAGGAATTTATTATTCTACGTTCTTCTTTGCTTCACGAAATCCCTCCGATCTCCTTCATCATTTCACTACACATCAGACACACGTCTTCCATCTATCTGAAATTCAAGCATCTCGAAGCGGATCCACGTTGCTCGGCCCCGTCGAGCCATAACGCGATACGTATAAATACCCGCATGCTCTCGAATATAAGTAGTCAGGAACCTGGAACAAAATTCAATTATTGTCTCGCTCGTTGAGATTCTACATCTCTCGAGACTTGAACATTTTATTTTCTTACAGCGTCTGCCACCGTGACAACATCTATAATTATATATCGGCGAAAAATCAAAATTTGAAAGCGCTCCGTTCCAGCTTCCATCGATATCTCGAAAGTTTTCTGAAAACGCGTACGCGTGACCGGCAAAAAAAGCTCTCTAAAGATCTCTTCCGATGCCAAGTGGTCCTCTCAACGTGTAGAACGACAGAAATTTCGGAAATTCGCGATACGTGGAACTGCGTTTGCGCGTCGTCGTCGGCCAGAAACAG